AATCCTGTGGGAGTTGGACTCTTTTCTTATGCAAAAGCTTTCATTTGTTCCAATAAATTTGCATTGATGATGGCCACTTGAGTGAAAACGCTCTATTGAGTATATTGCTCTTGAGACATCGTGGGAAAAGCCCCCAGTCTCCCACCGTCCTTTGAGTATGGAAGCATCTGGGTCCCGAAAGAGAAAGCGGAAGCCGGGAAGTTCCTTTTTTTCTTCCTTTCTTTCCGCGTTGATCACTGTGCAGAAGGAATTTACTGTTATCTCTGAATCTGTCTGCCAAAGGCTTGTTTCCGAAATTCGTAACTGAGGTAAGAGGTAAGATCTAACTGTTTACAGTTTTTCATTTTACGATAACAGTTTTAGGACGTTGAGCCTGGTCTCTATGATATTAAGAAATAATCATCAATAGAAGTTTTTTTTTTATTTGAAGAAATGATTTCGGTTTCGAAGCAACAAATGAAATGAAACCAGAGGAACGTCCGTGTAACAGAAGCGAAGCGAGCAAACCAACGATCGAAATGAAATCATGCATGGGGACCAAGCGAAACAAAACCACCGAAACCAGCAAAACGAAGAGGCAGAGCTGAAACTGGCATGTCAACATTTTGATTAAGATAATTCAGACGTCCAACTGTTCGTTTATTTTCCCTTAAATATAACTGATTTTCCTGGCTTAAAATCTTGGGTTGTGTCCGTTTTGTTTGATCGACTTCCACATTTACGTAAATATTAAAAGTTTATATACGTAGATGCTTTTTTGTTTGCTTCTTCTTTTTTTGCTAATTATTTCTAAATACAGGAAAATTTGTTAGTGGCTGATAACGAAGCTAAAGGTCTGTGCAAATTACTGCTACAACTTCGTTTTCTTTTGCTTTCGGTTGCGTGGTTTGGTTTCGTTTATTTCACTTGATTCGGTCGTTTTGCTTTTTTACTGATCAGTTTTACCTCGATCGCTTCGGCAACTTGCTCGTTTTGATCCTTGCCGTTTTATTTTTTCCCGGTTTCTTCAGAGAAACTGAGATAAAGGTAATACCTATCATTTCACATTTGCACTGTAATAGTTTTAGGAGGCTGAGGTTGCCTTGGTTTCATCAGATATACAAAAGATAATAGTCTACTTAGTGAGAGTATAAGCTGCTTTAGGAACTCTTAAATCAGAGATTTTTTGAAAAAATGCTTTACACAGCACATTTCTGCTCATGGCGGAAACACTCATATCACATCTTTGTTTGAATTGTTTGCCACCGAGCTCCACGATGACGAAAAAGAGTAGTATAGGTCTCTCATTCGGGTAATTCTGAGCCCAGCCAACCGGAGACGAATCAGCTGAATCATGCTTTGTTACGAAGTTTGTTTCTAAGTATAAGTTCATGACAGCGGTGCTCAATATCAGCAGTATTATAAAATCCGGCCATTAACTTTATGAAACAAAAAAAACCATTAGCTTGTAACAAGAAAGAATAAAGCTAAATAAGTCAATAAGTCACTTCGTCTTGTGATGGCAGTTTGGCTTTCATCTAAGCCGAAGCAACATTATATCAGTAAAGTGCGCTCCGAACCAAAGAGGAGTAATTTGCATACCCATCTCAATGAATTGAAACAGAGGATGCTTTCGGGCTTAAACATTGAAATCATCCAATGAACACTCCCTCGCTCCAAAATAGTGCTCACCCTTACCTAAATTTAGAGAACTGCAAAACTCAGGGAATATTGATAGAAATCATAACAATCTCTGAGACTTGGCTGAACACAACCGTTTTGGTCCCTTGAAAACCGCGACTAAACTAGCAAAAGAAAAGGAAAGGAAAAATAGAAAGAGCGTGGAGGCGGAAAGAAGGAGAAGAGATTGAAAAAACAATGGTTGTACCCTTAGTTTTTATATTGTCGGACTACTTTAGATTTTTTTCTTTTTGTTGCAGTTTTTGGACGGAAAAAAAGTGCGTGACGGAAGTGAACGCTTTTAAAAATCCGGCTGGATATACAAACAAGAGATCACGTAGAGATCCGTCCAGAGTACTGCAATACATTGACTGTATGTTCCAACACAGTGCAACACGAATGGCAAGTAAAACATACAATTCTGTACTCTGAATGTTTGAGCACCGCAAGCGCGCTTATAGTGAAAGTGGGACATTGTTTACCAGTTGAAAATCATACATTTAGTATGAATTTTAATTTTAATGCAAAGGACTAGGGACGTCGCTGGAGGACACTTCATGAGAAGTCTCAATATTGAGTTTAAAAGGGAGCTTTAGCATCGACGACGGCAACGGCAGCGAAAACGTCAGTTTTAACATGAATTCCCGTTTTCTCAAACTTTGTCGCGTTTATTCCAATTTGCTGAAAATGGTAAGTGTAGGCGAATTCCCCTGGAGTTGATTTCCAGAGGACCGCACTCAAGTTTAGAGAGAGAAAAAGAGATTCGTCGTCGCTTGTTTACGTCCTGCATAAAACTTGCAATTAGGCATTTTCACGTCGTAGTCGTGCAAGGACGGTAAAGAAATGTACAAAAAAGTGTGATGCACGTGCAAACTTGTTTTGCGTAATAAACCTGTTGCTTTTTTGACGTCCTGGTTGCCGTCGCCGTCGTCGTTGCTAAAGCTCCCTTATATCAGGGGCACCCAACGGCAATTTTCGGGAAAATAACTGTTCGGAAGACGATTTGAGAACTAGAATTTTCGAAACATTTGTTGTAAAATTTCTTGCTTACCTGCCTCTCCTAGGATTTTCGAACATCTACAAAATGGTATAATTACCCATTTTAATCGGATATTTACTCTAAAAAAGGTCACCTAGAATTTTCGGGAGCCTTTTCCTGGCTGAAATTTTCGAAAAGGTAGGTTTTGATCCCTATAATTTTCGGATCACTAGACTTTCAGCTAGGAAATCCGAACAGATGAAAAGTTTTTAGGGGATAAAAATATGTCTATATCTACCGTTTAAATACTAAAATACGTTCAACAATGCTATGTTAAGTGGTTTTGAACTATATCCTCGTTGGGTGCCCCTGTTATATTGACTCTAGGAGACGGTTGAAATCTAGGCCAGTAGAATACTGGCTCGCAGCCCTTCATGTGCTACTTCTTCCCCCAGTTGTTCGAAGGCCGATTAGCGCTAACTTGGGTTTAAATCTTAATCTGCGTTTCTTTTTCTTTTGTTTAAAAGTAATTTCACAGATAATTTTCTCTATTTTTCTTCGAGCATCTAATCGTCAGTTTGTAGACAAAACCGCTAAACTGAATTTACTTTTTACATATTATCTGAATTCAAGTTTTGCACACTAACCCTAGCTAGATTATCTAAATCCACTTGAAAAACCTGGCCTTGGACTCTACTCGAACCTTTCAAAATATATAGAAGTCTCTTCATCTTCCTTTGGTCTCGCTTTGGCCTCATCCTGTATCCAATATGCGCAACGACTTTTGCTATATTTCTCTACTACCTTTTACTGGTTTTAGGGTTTTCTGGTCCACACTAGTTACCGAGGGTAACATGGAAAGTGTAAATTGGGCAGACCGATTAACGTGTAACATGATTAAAGACTGTCAATGATTGATTGAATGAATGAAGGAAGGGAGGGAGGAAGGAATTAGCGAACGAACGAATGAACGAAAGACCAAAATAACACTGAATTGGGGACGCCTCATTAATTAAATTACACTAAAAAACAAAACACACTACAATACATACAGATTAAAATAACTCACACAATGGAATAGTAGCGATTATATAATATAGGTATTATCATTCGATGCAAATTTTTCTTCCTTTTTATTGGCCAAGAGCCCACCACGTGAGCTGCAAATAACTGCCTACGAATAACGGTCTGCTCATGCGCAATTTTGTCCAACCGTGTTTTAATAACTGCAAATAATAATCTGCTCATTCTGTCTCGCAGATCAATTATTTGCCGAAGTCAATTGATCTGCTTGTTACTGGCAAATCACAATATTTTGCTCAACCTCGTCCAATAATTGTTAAATATTTATCAATGGTGTTAAAACCTAATATTAAGAAAAATAGCAGCTGTCAATAAACAATGGGTACAATGTCAACCCCTCGAAAACGGACCAAGCATGCAAACACTAGCCCTCCCTGATCGCCAACGACCATGACAACCGCCATCCCCGCGAAAACCAATGTAGTATATACTAGTTATCACAAAGTTAACAACCGCCATGGCAACCGAGAACGAGACCATCAGTGTCCGCCCGATCCGTCTTCGAAAGGCCGACAATGTTTCAGATCATTTTATCTAAATTTTTAAATCGGCATTTCACCTAAATCGTAAAGCCAAGATTGCGCAAGCTATGTTTACCCCATGCAACTGAGTTAAATCGAGGTATCATAAAATCAGGGTTGGTAACCACTTTTGATCTGTTATGAGCGAAGGTGATAAGCTATTTTTAATTTATACATAACCGAGGCGATTTCTTAGTGTAGGCAAATTGGCCCAACGTATTAAGTTTAAAAATGCTTCGTACGTTACCCCACGTGTAACTTTATAACGAGTGATGCAAATAACGTTTCGATGACTTTTTGCGTCACTTTTTCTACCAATCTATTATTTACTTACAACCAATCACTTGAAGTGAAGCCCGAAATCAATGGTTTTCTGGCAAGATCTGTTTCTTTTTTTCGTATTTATTGTTTTCAACTAGGCTTTGTTTTGTTATGCTTTGCTTATTTGTTTATTTGTTATTACTTTCGTCTTTCATTTTTGTTAAGAATTTTAGGAACGATTTTGAGGTAATGTAGTTCGAGTGTTCCTTTTGTTTCGGCTTATTTCGGCTTCTTGTTTAGTCCCTCTTTTGTCAAAGCAATCACCCTAAATCTAACACCGTGAAATGCATCAAAATGCTCATCACTGAAGGTGACTGAAAATTTATTAGTGCATTCTGAACTTGATAATGGCCACTTTCCAAATTGGTAACGTTATCCACATCTACATTGTTAACAACTGTTTGTTCTCAAAATTAACTTTACAGGGAACATCAACCATGCTCTTCGATGAAAGGGTATACACGTACACAGACAGCCGCGGCAGAAAGCATAAAGTACCTAAGGTGCGTGCATTCTCGCTGGACCAGATTCGACGTGGAGACCATCTATGCTTCGATCGAGGTTTCTACTGGCATCACGCTGTCGCAGAGACTGTCGATAAATCAAATGGTGAAGTCAACGTCATTGAGTATTCAAATTCCGCAAAGCAATTCAGCCAGGACAACAGCAGCCCGCCAAAAAATCCGGGATTGGCTGTGGTGGTTAGACGGAAATTCAAATTAGAAAACGAATCCGTTTACGTTATTAAACATGACAGGTGTTTTGATCCCGAAACTGTTGTTTCCAGTGCTAAGAGTAAGCTAGGGGAAAGAAAATACCATCCTGTTACCAATAACTGTGAGCATTTTGCCTTATGGTGTAAAACAGGAATATCCTCCTCAGAACAAGTAAACAATGTCAAGGATTTCCTTAAGAAAGGAGTAAACAATGTCAAGGATGTCCTCAATACAGGAGTAATCGATGTCAAAGATCCCTTTGACACAAGAGCATTGCCAGAGGTTGTCGCAAGTACAGAAGTAAAAGAGATCGTTAAAACAGAGGTAAGTCGTGAGGTAACAAAAGAGTTTGTGAGTCATACTATTCACGGCAACGGACAGCAAATCATAAGTTCTGGAGTTCGTGCCATGTCAAAGCAACTTATGACTCAAACTACAGTTAGAACTGGGCAAGAGGTAGTTAAAACTGGAATGATTGTGTTACGCGGGTAATCTTTTAGAGGACGGGTAGCTTGCAAACCAAACTGAACCCAGGGTTGTCGGAACAGCAACAAGAAGATTTATTCCAAAAAAATTAACGTAGTTTCCACGGAGTAAAACTCCACAACAGCACGTAACTCGTTAAACTTACACGGCCTCTGCCAACTTCAATTAACTTGATAAACTTACACGGCCTCCGCCAACTTGAATAAATACTGCTTTCGTCACACTTGACTAAACACGACCAACGTCAAACTCTCTTCGCTTGTGAAAACTAGTTAAAACTTAACTCGAGCTGGCCTACTTATATACTTTTACAATAAAGTTCTAGAACATTCCAAATGGTCTAATTATAGAAAGATTACAAAATGTACCGCTTTAGAAACGCTTACGCAAGATCCTAAAATAAACAAACTACGAACTCTCGCGAAGCTTCTAGGAAGTCACGCTAGTCACGCAATACAATTTTTCGTAACATAACCCCCTTTCAGAGGAAATTTCCTAAATTTCTCCTAAACAAGAAAAATTGATAAATAAGGTGCAGTTCAATGTCAATAAACTTATTCTTCAGTTCTACTTAAGTAATCTGCTCCAACGTTCTCTGAGCCTTTAATGGCTTCAACTCTGAATGTATAACTTTGCAAAAACATAGCCCAACGCATAAGACGTCCGTTCGCAAACTTAGCACTGTTCATATACTTTAGGGGTTCATGATCCATCGGCAGTACAAAGGGAACTCCGTACAAATAAAGATGAAATCTCTTGATACCCCAGACTACTGCTAGGCACTCTTTCTCAATCGTAGAATAGTTCCTTTCCGCACTTGACAATTTCTTGCTTGCGTAGCAAACGGAGAACAGCTTCTCATCATGCTTCTGCATTAATACGGCACCAATCCCAGTATTTGAGGCATCCGTTTGCAAGTAGTACGTTTTCACTGGGTCTAGAAGACGAAGAATTGGCTCATTCGTCAAATGAAATTTGATGGTCTGATATGCCTCTCTTGTGCTTGACCCCACTCGACTCTAGTTGGTTGACCCTTGCGTGTCAGGTCCGATAGTGGAGCTGCAATAGCTGCCAAGTTAGGGATAAAGTCTCTGTAATATCCGGCCAAACCAACAAATGAACGAACTTGCTTCTTTGTACCTGGCCTTGGCGCATTCTTAATCTTCTCGACATTCTCCTCGTGTAGACCAAGCACTCCTTGTTCTAGTCGATGACCCAAGAAATCAACGCAACTCGCTCCAAAAATACACTTAGTTGGTCTAATAGTCATCCCAGCTCTCATTAAACGTGCAAACAACTCTCGGAGGGCTTTAATATGCTCTTCCCAGGTGCGTGTATGAACCAATATATTGTCCCAGTAAAAATCGACGTCGTCTAAATCTTCAATTAATTTCTTCATAGCTCGCTTCAGGGTTGCTGCAGAGTTAATCATTCCAAGTGGCATCTTCAAGAACTCGTAGGAACCGGCGGGTGTTACAAACGCAGTCTTCGGAATTTAATTTTAATGCAAAGGACTAGGGACGTCGATGGACGACACTTCATGAGAAGTCTCAATATTGAGTTTAAAGGGAGCTTTAGCATCGACGACGGCAACGGCAGCGAAAACGTCAGTTTTAACATGAATTCCCGTTTTCTCAAACTTTGTCGCGTTTATTCCAATTTGCTGAAAATGGCAAGTATAGGCGAATTTCCCTGGAGTTGATTTCCAGAGGACCGCACTCAAGTTTAGAGAGAGAAAAAGAGATTCGTCGTCGCTTGTTTACGTCCTGCATAAAACTTGCAATTAGGCATTTTCACGTCGTAGTCGTGCAAGGACAGCAAAGAAATGTACAAAAAAGTGTGATGCACGTGCAAACTTGTTGTTTTGGGTAATAAACCTGTTGCTTTTTTGACGTCCTGGTTGCCGTCGCCGTCGTCGTTGCTAAAGCTCCCTTACATTGACTCTAGGAGACGGTTGAAATCTAGGCCAGTAGAATACTGGCTCGCAGCCCTTCATGTGCTACTTCTGTTGAGATGTGAAGGAAATAAACTACAGTTTTAGCTTGAATACAACAACGAAGCTTTTAATGTCCAAGCGATCGATTTTGCTCTTGCCCGAGATGCGGTTGCACGAGGTACCGCTGACCATGTGACTGACCGATCACATGATCATAGTCACGCTTGTCACGTCACATCCCTCCCCCTTACAAAATTAGCCAGAACAATAACAACAAAAAAACTGGTACAATAAACTAAAGGCAAGTTCTAGTCACTGATCAAGTGTTCAACATAAGTCATAATCTTCAAGCCAGACAGGGGTGCGTCTGGCTCTCTCGGAACGCCTGGGCTGGGAAGCTGGGATGGGCTCTGCATTGTCCGCGACGGACTGTGCTGGGGACATTGGGTCATTCGCTTGGATCTCTGGGGTAGGATGGGTTTGGTTTTGGTCTTGCAGGGACTCTGGTAAGACAGGTGGCCTGATTTCATTCTCAGTCTGATGAGGCTCTTCAATCTGGCTGCTTGGTTCTGGTGGTGGCTTCAGAGTAGACCGCAGTTGACGGCGGTTTCTGCGGAAGCGCCGTCCATCCACCTCAACTTCATATGACCGTCGGCCAAGAGGGCGTGTGCAGTGGCCTAAGCTCCATTTCTGCTCCCCGGGTTTTTTCATGCGGATGGAATCGCCTGCTTTTAAGGGGGCGAGGTTCTTGGTGCCTCTATTGTACTGCTTGCACTGTAATCGTTTCCTAGCTGCTAGGTTACTCGCTGTGGTCGTCAGGTCACTGTTTGGCTGGAGGAGTTTTTCGGCTGTTGGTAGCAAAGTGCGGGTGCGTCGGCCCATTAGTCTCTGAGCTGGTGAGGTGCTGAATCCCTCACTTGGGGTGTTTCGCCAAGCAAGAATCGCTAATAGTGGATCTTTCTTGTCTTCCTTAGCTTTCATGAGCAGTCCTTTGCAGGTTTTCACGGCGTTTTCCACTTTTCCATTTGACTGTGGATACCCTGGACTAGACGTTCGCTGCTCAAACTGCCATTGGGAGGAGAAACTCTTGAACTCCTGATTGTCGAATTCTGGACCATTATCCGTAATCAGTACCTCCGCAATACCATGGCGATCAAACTGCACCTTAAGTTGAGTAATAACAGCTTGTGCTGTCTTCTTGTGGATCTCAACGACTTCAAAGAAATTGGACCAGTAATCCACCATTATCAGAAATGTCTGCTGGCCAAGGTGAAACAGATCAGCGGCGATCTTTTGCCAAGGGCGTGAAGGCAGCTCATGTGGTTGAAGCTCTTCACGCGCCTGTTCTGGTCGGTATGTTTGGCAGATGGCACAACGTGAGACAAAGTCTCTGATCTCAGCGCTCATTCGTGGCCAATACAATATTTCACGGGCACGGCGAATACATCCTCCAATGCCGATGTGACTGCTGTGAAGCTGGTTTAACATGTCCTTACGAAGTGAAAGGGGCACTACAAGCTGTTCTCCACGGAACACTAAACCCTCTGACTCTATCAACTCGCCTCGCTCGTCATAATATGGCTGAACAGCAGGAGGGCACTTTTTCTTGTTGGGCCAGCCTTGCTTGATCACACGAACAAGTTCCTGGATATCAGCGTCTTCAGCGACTCGCTGTCGGAACTCATCTCGTTTGGGAGGTTCAACTTGAATATGTTCTTCGTGATTCACCATCTCGAGTGCACGTATCTCACAGAACTCGGTCTGGGCTCCATCAGTGGTCTTCAAATATGCAAGACTCAAAGCATCTGCAATGTACATTAGTGGACCTTTCTTGTATTGTACCTCGAGGTTGTACTTTTGTAGGGCCAGACGCATTCGCTGCAGGCGCTTGGGTGACTTGTGAATTTCTTTTTTGAACACAGACTTCAATGGCTCATGGTCAGTCTCGACAGTGACTGTGTCACGTCCATAGAGGTATTGGTCGAACTTGTCACACGCCCAAGTGATGGCGAGCATCTCTTTTTCTATCTGTGCGTATCGAGACTCTGTATCGGTGAGAGCGCGGGAGGCATAACAGACAGGCTGGCCTTCCTGCAGCAATACTGCTCCTAAGCCGGACTGGCTAGCATCACATTGTACAGTGACTGGCTTGCTTACGTCATAATAGCGAAGAACGGGTGCCTCTGTCAGGAACTTCTTGATCGTGTTCATTGCAATGGAGTGCTGTTCTAACCACTGGAACTCCACATTCTTGTCCTCCAGACGTCTAAGTGGCTCTGTCGTCTGTGATAGGTGGGGCATAAACTTTGCAAGATACGTCACCATCCCCAGGAATCGCTTCAATGCTGTAAGATCGTCCGGTTCAGGCATCTGCAGTATGGCCTGAATCTTCTCAGGATCAGGCATGAGCCCCTGAGAGGTGAGGAGATGACCCATGAATTTCACACTTGTTCAGGCATCTGCAGTATGGCCTGAATCTTCTCAGGATCAGGCATGAGCCCCTGAGAGGTGAGGAGATGACCCATGAATTTCACACTTGTCTGGTGCCTTTTCACTTTCGCACGGTTCAACTTCAAGTTCCACAGACGGCATTTCTCAAGAAAGGCTCGCTCATTTCTTTCAAGACTCTGGTTTACTTCACGGTCAGTACTGCCAAATCCGGCGATCAAGAAGTCGTCTGCGATCACTTCCACTCCTTCAAGGTCTTCAACAAACTCATGCATTGTACGTTGCCAGACTTCGGGGGCTGAAGAGATGCCAAATGGCATCCTCTTCCATCTGTAACGCCCGAATGGTGTATTAAAGGTGGTCTTGTCGCTAGAGTCAGTGTCAAGACGTTTCTGCCAAAAACCATCCTTGGCATCTACGACAGTGAACTTCTTTGCTTGTGAAAGGCGGTTCGAGACTTCCTCCACTGTTGGCATCTGGTAGTGTTCGCGACGGATGGCTTTGTTCAAATCACGTGGGTCCAGACATATGCGTAGCTTGTTGGGCTTGACAATGACCAACATACTGGAAAACCACTCGGTTGGTTCAGTTACGGGTGCAAGAATACCGCTGGCTACCTTCTCATCAAGTTTCTCCTTGATTTGGTTTCGTAGAGCGACCGGTACACGACGGGGCGGGTGTACCACCGGTGGAACACTGTCATCGGTGACAATGTGGTACTCGCCTGGAAGATCACCCAAGCCTTCAAAGACATCCTTGCATCCCTCCAGAGGGTCTGCCATCCCGGTTGTTACATGTACACCTGGGGTATCCTTGAGCCCGCCACTGGAGTTTGATGAGCTGTCACAGTCATTAATTGTGACGAGTCCCAGTCCAATACATGTGCTGTATGATAACAGTGGGGCAAGATCGTCTTCTGTAGTGTTGAACTGCAACACATTGCGCCATGTAGGGAGTTCTGTCGACCCCAATATTTTGTACCGTTCATTGGTGTAAGTTTTAATAAACTTGTATGAGCAGCGTTTGAGTTGTGTTAAATCCTCATCAGCCGTGACACGTCGATAATCTTTCAGGGAGAGGAGGTTGCATTCCGCACCTGTGTCCAGCTGGAGTGTCACTTTACTTTGACTACTTTGCATGCCGACTTCCATAGTAATTAAAGCACATGTTCCAGTTCCCACTTGACTTATACGAAAAACTGCTTCAGGTACTTCTTCTACATTGTTTACCTTTGGGTTGGTTGAGCGGCACTTTGATTGAAAGTGATTCTTCTGTCCACACTTGTGGCACGTTTGCCCTCTGGCAGGGCACTGGCGGTTTCCATGGTGATATCCACAGGATCTACATTCTGGTCGGTTGATAGGCGAATCACGTGGGCGTCGTGTGTTCTGAGGCGGCACATTCTTCTGTTCTGTTCTAACGGCACCAACTGACTCATATGTTCCAGTGGCAATCAACTTTAATTGCTGACTGGTCTGTTCTGCAGCTTTGCAGATGTCGCTGGCTTTAGACAAGGTCAGGTCGTTTATTCGTAAAAGGCGTTCTCGTACTTTCTCATCTCGGACTCCAAGGACCAAACGGTCGCGTAGAATCTCGTCCGGTGTGATTTCCTCGAGAGCACAATTCTTCGCAATCACTCGCAACTCAGTCACGTAAGCACTTATACCTTCACCTTGCTCCTGTTTACGATTGTTAAAGCGATAGCGTTCATATATCACTTGAGTGCGACGCTCACAATATTCGTCAAATTTTGCTAAAACGTCTGTAATATTGTTTTTACTCTGACCTTCACTCCAAGCAAATGTACCAAACGCTTTGACGGCCTCCTCGCCGATGACTGAAAGCAATGTCGACACTCGAACAAGATTCTCCTGCTTGTAAATACCAGTCGCAATTTCATACCTTTGCCAAACTTTTTTCCATTTTTTTCAATTACTAACCAGATTATCATCCACTACAAGCGGTTTTGGTGGCGGAAGATTCATTGGAGGTAATATCAACGGAGCAACGGCTGACGTTCCTTCAGCGCCTTCCGCAGTATCAGGCGGAGGCATCTGGCAAACTGAGATGGTCAGGAATGGTGGCCACGGTAAACAACTTTCCTTGTTCGATCGGCTGTCCGCTCAACCCACTTGGCGTCAAATACTTTTCTAATCTGCCTAGAACGTAGCTAAGAGACTCACTTCTAACACCATGTTGAGATGTGAAGGAAATAAACCACAGTTTGAATTCACAGCTTGAATACAACAACGAAGCTTTTAATGTCCGAGCGATCGATTCTGCTCTTGCCCGAGATGCGGTTGCACGAGGTACCGCTGACCACGTGACTGACCGATCACATGATAATAGTCACGCTTGTCACGTCACAACTTCTTGTTTTAATAGCTGCAAATAATAATCTGCTCATTCTGTCTCGCAGATCAATTATTTGCAGAAGTCAATTGATCTGCTTGTCACTGGCAAATCACAATATTTTGCTCAACCTCGTCCAATAATTGTTAAATATTTATCAATGGTGTTAAACCTAATATTAAGAAAATAGCAGCTGTCAATTAACAATGGGTACAATGTCAATCCCTCGAAAACGGACCAAGCATGCAAACACTAGCCCTCCCTGATCGCCAACGACCATGACAACCGCCATCCCCCCGAAAACCAATGTAGTATATACTAGTTATCACAAAGTTAACAACCGCCATGGCAACCGAGAACGAGACCATCAGTGTCCGCCCGATCCGTCTTCGAAAGGCCGACAATGTTTCAGATCATTTTATCTAAATTTTTAAATCGTCATTTCACCTAAATCGTAAAGCCAAGATTGCGCAAGCTATGTTTACCCCATGCAACTGAGTTAAATCGAGGTATCATAAAATCAGGGTTGGTAACCACTTTTGATCTGTTATGAGCGAAGGTGATAAGCTATTTTTTAATTTATACATAACCGAGGCGATTTCTTAGTGTAGGCAAATTGGCCCAACGTATTAAGTTTAAAAATGCTTCGTACGTTACCCCACGTGTAACTTTATAACGAGTGATGCAAATAACGTTTCGATGACTTTTTGCGTCACTTTTTCTACCAATCTATTATTTACTTACAACCAATCACTTGAAGTGAAGCCCGAAATCAATGGTTTTCTGGCAAGATCTGTTTCTTTTTTTCGTATTTATTGTTTTCAACTAGGCTTTGTTTTGTTATGCTTTGCTTATTTGTTTATTTGTTATTACTTTCGTCTTTCATTTTTGTTAAGAATTTTAGGAACGATTTTGAGGTAATGTAGTTCGAGTGTTCCTTTTGTTTCGGCTTATTTCGACTTCTTGTTTAGTCCCTCTTTTGTCAAAACAATCACCCTAAATCTAACACCGTGAAATGCATCAAAATGCACATCACTGAAGGCGAATGAAAATTTATTAGCGAATTCTGAACTTGATAATGGCCACCTCTTTTCTAGCTTGGTAACCATCGAACTACTTTCCAAATTGGTAACGTTATCCACATCTACATTGTTAACAACTGTTTGTTCTCAAAATTAACTTTACAGGGAACATCAACCATGCTCTTCGATGAACGGGTATACACGTACACAGACAGCCGCGGCAGAAAGCATAAAGTACCTAAGGTGCGTGCATTCTCGCTGGACCAGATTCGACGTGGAGACCATCTATGCTTCGATCGAGTTTTCTACTGGCATCACGCTATAGCAGAGACTGCCGATAAATCAAATGGTGAAGTCAACGTCATTGAGTATTCAAATTCCGCAAAGCAATTCAGCCGGGACAACAGCAGCCCGCCAAAAAATCCGGGATTGGCTGTGGTGGTTAGACGGAAGTTCAAATTAGAAAACGAATCCGTTTACGTTATTAAACATGACAGGTGTTTTGATCCCGAAACTGTTGTTTCCAATGCTAAGAGTAAGCTAGGGGAAAGAAAATACCATCCTGTTACCAATAACTGTGAGCATTTTGCCTTATGGTGTAAAACAGGAATATCCTCCTCAGAACAAGTAAACAAAGTCAAGGATTTCCTTAAGAAAGGAGTAAACACTGTCAAGGATGTCCTTAATACAGGAGTAATCGATGTCAAAGATCCCTTTAACACAAGAGCATTGCCAGAGGTTGTCGCAAGTACAGAAGTAAAAGAGATCGTTAAAACAGAGGTAAGTCGTGAGGTAACAAAAGAGTTTGTGAGTCATACTATTCACGGCAACGGACAGCAAATCATAAGTTCTGGAGTTCGTGCCATGTCAAAGCAACTTATGACTCAAACTACAGTTAGAACTGGGCAAGAGGTAGTTAAAACTGGAATGATTGTGTTACGCGGGTAATCTTTTAGAGGACGGGTAGCTTGCAAACCAAACTGAACGCAGGGTTGTCGGAACAGCAACAAGAAGATTTATTCCAAAAAAATTAACGTAGTTTCCACTGAGTAAAACTCCACAACAGCACGTAACTCGTTAAACTTACACGGCCTCTGCCAACTTCAATTAACTTGATAAACTTACACGGCCTCCGCCAACTTGAATAAATACTGTTTGACGACCAACGTCAAACTCTCTTCGCTTGTGAAAACTAGTTAAAACTTAACTCGAGCTGGCCTACTTATATACTTTTACAATAAAGTTCTAGAACATTCCAAATGGTCTAATTATAGAAAGATTACAAAATGTACTGCTTTAGAAACGCTTACGCAAGATCCTAAAATAAACAAACTACGATCTCTCGTTAAGCTTCTAGATAGTCACGCTAGTCACGCAATACAATTTTTCGTAACAGATTGCGATGACAAAACAAGTTGCCGCCCAAAGTACAGTCATGGCTGCAAAAGAGGTGGCCAAAACTGGAATGGTTCTGATG